CTACAACATTCAGAACAATGGGTAAAGGTGACGGTGATTATTAAGTACAAATTACTACTTTTCTGTCTTGGAAACAAGAGCGTGTATAACACTCTATTCCTAAAAAGCTTAGTCTAGAGCAGTAACATATTAAATAATTTTTTCTTTGACCCGGTAACAATATAAGTAAAGACTTATCAGACTACTGCAAGGCCATCTGCAAACTGTCTTCGTTGCATAGACCGGTCAATTGACGAAACTTCCGTCATACGCAGTTGATTTCATTTATAAATCTGCAGTTTACTATCCGCTTGAGCGTTATGCATCCTCACTCCGATTAACCACTAGCGCGCATTTCATTCAATTGAGTACGGCAAGTACTCGTCTTCTCTGTTTGTAGCAGTGTATTGCTAGAAGCATATGTTAGTACCATCGATATTTCAAGTGGTAGCTTGTTGGGGATTCAAAGAACATCTTTTTATCAGTCGATAGTCTGAAGCAACGTCGGTTAAGTGACGCAGTTTTGATTCATCTGCTCAAGCTAAGGCATTACATTTCCTCCTAAAAATCAATGTTTTAAATCATTCGTAAGGAACGTCATAACAATCTAAGTCTATGTATTCCTGGTTAGTTTACACGCAATTCTGAAAAAGTTGTTTTGAAGCTTAAGTATATGAGCAAACAACTCACAAGCTAACATTTTGGTAGTACGCTATATTGAGATAGTAGAGATTTGTAGCTCAGGTTGATGATTTTGTTGGAGTTTTGTTTTGTGAGCTGGATGGTTTGGTCGTGGAGTTTTCATCGTCCTGGACATCATCAGCACACACTTCGGGTAGAAGTGTGTGCTGATGATGTCCAGGACGATGAAAACTCCACGACCAAACCATCCAGCTCACAAAACAAAACTCCGTCAAAAAGTACGCTATATTAAATATGTTGTTTTATATCTTTCTTATAGACTAGTTCACAAGCCGGAAGCGATCCAACCACACAAACCAGTAACACTAACTCCACTCTTAACAAATTATCGTAAAACGTTGTTTAGTCCAACTGTTGTTGCTATTATTCAAGTACTGTTCATTATACCATTTGTTTACTGGCTGAACCTTCTGATATTTGCACCTGTTTCAGTAAGCAATTTTTCCGGCGAAAATAAAAGCTTATGGGAATCAGCGTTTCCACTAATTGAAATTCTTTGGCCAACTGGTGATAATAAAAGTTTGTGGGGTCCTGCACGTCCATTTCTTGGAGTTCTTTGGCCAACTGACTGGCACAACTATATCAATATCCAGAGTTCCGTGCTCGTCTTTATGTATCTTTTGTTGCAGTGTCTAGTTGCTCGTTTTCTCCCTATTGGTCGAATTGTTACAACTGGGATCCGAAATATCGACTACCGCTGTAATAGTAAGTTTTCTTGCTGTTGGGACGAAGTCTATATCAAGTACGGTTGATTAAAAAGCATAACTGCATAACCAAATTAAGCATTAATTTAGAACGAATATCTGAATAACGTAGAAATTAAGTGCTACGTGTTGCTATATGCCAGTAATTATGTAAATAAGTAACGCACTAGTACTGTATTTTTCAAATCACTTGCTCAAAATGCAATTCTATTCATAAAAAAATCTGTTGTTGATCAACTTAATCGGTAAATACATCGTTTTTTTTCAGATAATTTGAGTAGTTAGTACCTTCAGAAAATAACAATCTAGCAAACCTAACTGAAGGAATGTTTATTACCATGTTTCTATCTCACCATTCATAAAGTTGAACATGTGCTTTTAGTGGTGACATTTTAAATGAAGTTTCTTCAAAATCTTATGAAACAATAGAACATAAACACTTCTCATTCATTAATCTAAAAAAATTTCTGTTATCGTTATTTTAATATTGTATGCATTTATCCTTGTAGGTCTGATGTCTTTTATCATCTTCATTGGGTTGTTTGCTTTCGCTGAAATTTCCGAGTGTACTACAATCAGAAACTTAAAACCAAGTGAAATGCTCCCAAACATTTGGCTCAGTTTACTTACTTCATCTTGTTTGGCGTCTCTTTTTTTGTCGTTTGTTGCGTATTTCGCCTCTAAGACAGTTGTACGATATACAAGACAATCAGCGGCCAAAACAAGTTAGTGGAAATGGTCGACTCTGTTTTTAACCAGTTAGCTTATATGATTTCTATTTAATTTTAATCAGTGTTGTAAGGAACGCATGTGTTATTTTCTTGATTTTAGTCGGTTTCATATTCATACATTTTTAGTCTCGAAAAAAACTGTTATTCTGTATTTGCTCTTTTTAGTTTATTTATTTAACTGCACAGTACTCATGTTCATTTCACACTAAAGCATATGTACGTTTTGTTGGAAAGCGACTGTTAGCCTGCCCTTAGGTTTTTATTGTAAAGAGTGGAACCGATCACTCCAAAAAAACGTTCGTAAAACTTTATATCTTCAATAGGCTCACTATCAGTGCTGACAGTACTTATCATTTATGAATTAATTATACAATTATTTAAAGCATGCTTTTCTCACATTTTATAGGTAGTATTTTCCTTGATTTTTGGTGTGGTCGTCACGTACGACCCCAGTGGTTTGGTATTGATTGGAAAATGACTATAACACGGTCAGGATTGATGGCATTGCCCTTAATAGACTTAACGTATATATTCAGACAGTATGAGCAATATGAACGCATTAGCCCGGCTCTTGCTGCGCATGCTCTTATGCACGCTTTATGGGTGCTTGACTTCTTCATCTTCGAGGTACGTGGTGTAGTGTATTTTCATGCGTACTTGGTTTTCTGTTCTTTGTTGTATACTGTAAGTAGCCAATATTAATTAGAAAATTGTTTTTCGGAGAATAGCAAACATTATAAATTGAAATTTATATAATAATACATTGTGATGTTCTACTGCATATACCATGTTCCCTATATTTATTTTAGCATACCTTCTCCTTTACTTACGAAGCGCAATCCGTAACATTTGGTTCTTGCTTTATTATCAGTCGATTGGTCGCTTTACCTTTCGTATATTCCATAACAAGTTCATACTTGTCTTCAAGACCTGATGTTGGCAGACAGCTAACTAGTTCTTCAAAACATAGTTGTAATGCTTGGATTATGGGAATTGCTATTGTTTTATTTTTACTGGGATTATGGATTTATCGTAGATCAAACAACCAGAAAGATAGATTCAGACGTGATCCTCACGATCCATCGTTTGCTAGTGAGTTAACGTATATTTCTTGTCGAGGTTGATTTTGCTCTTTGTACAGTTTTGATATTTTTTAAATTGAGAATAACTAGGGACCTTGAAACGTCTATAGTAGCTAGTTTATCCAACGCTTTATTTTTATCTTGATTGTTACATCCATAAAGAACAACTAACATGTACGTAGTTAGTGTGTAATAACTGTCATCTATTTAATACTGAGGATGAACTGAATTTATAGTTATATTATGCTTTATTATTTTCAGCGTATATTATCTAGGAAATCTCATTTTCTAGTCACACGTCACCAGTTATGACCACACGTTAATGGTATGGTAACAGTCAACACCAGAGTTGGTTTGTCGCTTGTCCTAAAACAATTTATTTATTGAGTTTCCTACAGAACATAAAATTTGCATTGGTTTTTTAATCGCATATGTTTTGGCGTTTCACAATTTGTATTGTCGTGTTCATAATTCATAGTTTAGTACTAAAGTCCTCATAAGGTTATCGGTTGCTTTATTATTAACATTTTGTTGCGAAACTCAGCTGACGAAACTTCAAATATATACACAGACATGCATTCTGATTATCAATTCATCGAATGACCGAAGAATTATAAAGTAAAAAGGGGTTCAACATGCAATGCTATCCCGTAATTTTTATTGCTTATAGAATTTATGTGAAATAGAAACTCACTAAATTGAGAGTTTGTAGGTTTATTGATGCAGTGAACTAGGCCAAATGTATCTCCAACCAATCAGATCTCGGGTAAGAGCACTAATTTTGTTTAAACCTCGAGCTACATTAGAAATCTTTAACAATTCTGATACAACTGAGCTAACTGTTAGTTTTCGATATAAGACAGGATTTAATCAGTAACAATAATATGCGTACAGTTTCATTTGTGTATTTTTTAGCATAATCAAATTTATCAACTTGTCCATCTGTTCCCGTTTTTAGATGCTGAAATAGTTGTTGGACCAGGTGTTCAACGATTACTAGTTTCGGGTCTTTGGGGTTATGTTCGCCACCCAAATTATGTGGGTTACATTATTTTGGCCGTGGCAATGCAGGTTCCATGCGGTGAGTTTTATTAATTTCTATGTGAATAGGAGAGCAATATTGTTTGGGTCACTAGTGTTTTTCGAAAATCATCCTTAACACTAAATCTGTACACAACACATTATGTAGATACAATACATAAATTTTTCAAGATTGGGCAACTAAATCACAGAGTTTACCAGACGACCGTTGGATTGGTCCACAGTCACCTGGGTAATTGCCGAAACAAGCCTGTTTGAATCGGCACTCGTACTGATCGCATTACTATGATTTGTCGTGTTGATCGCTGGCAATTGATACTAACTTTCCACATTACTCTCTTTATAGGTTTCGACTCTCCACTGTTATGGGGAATTTCCGCTATCACAATTCTCAACATTATTCATCGTTCTATAGTTGTGGAGGATGCTTGTTTAAGAAAACATGGTCCAGCATGGCAAAAGTACACAGCCTTGGTGCCGTATCGATTCATACCTAAAGTTTTTTAATTACTACTTATTTCATAATATTTATTGCATTTATGTCAATGTGTTTTATATATTTTTCGCTCAATGGTCAATTCTTATAAATTTTAATGTTTATAGATTTATGCTCTTTGTTTTAATGCAAACTTTTAGAATTCTTCAAATTGGCAGCATTCATCTATCCAAGTTTTGTTATTACAATCTATTAGGTGTACAGTTTTCTATCTAACCTTTTTTTACTCCCAATGTTTTATTCTAATAATAAGTCGATGTTTTTTAATCTCATTGCTTATCCCCATAAAAAATTACAAAAGAACAATATAGTCTTTTTTTTGAAATCTATAAAGGGCTAAAAACAAATTTTGAGCGTATATTCGTAACTCAGAGATGAATTGCAACTGTGGATTCATGGACTGTTTGTAACCAAAAAGAAGTCAAGTTTAGGATATGTATATAACGGTCATCCTTCAATCGGTTTGTAGAAAAGAGTTGACACGAATTTTTGCCTGAAGCGTGTGATTACACTCAGCACAATTACACCGTCCTGAGGAAAAATAAAAGTAATAAATGTTTCATCCAAGCATCCATTTTTGAACTTGTTAAAGAGGGAAATGTTAAAAACCTCAATTGTGTAGATTAAGAAGTATAGTTTCTGTCGCTGTATAAAAAATTTCAGCAAAGTACAAATATTGTATGTGATCGCTATTAGAGTACTGTATTTTCCTAGATTGTCAGTTAAACTCTAGCAACTCATAATGAATTGTCTCCTGCAACTCGAAGTTACACAGACCATAATTCTAACAGTATACTCATATAGAGTGCCCTGTCAGTTTGTATTAAAGGCTTTCTATTCAAATTGTAAAATAAACGAAGCAGATTGCAAAAATGTACAGCTACTGAAATTGTTTAATAGTCGGGTGCGTGTATATCACTACTACGCATAAATAACAGGTCGTCACATGATGTTTGTCCGTCAGTAATGTAATCTTCATGGAAATACATACCCACTCGGTAAAAAAAAGCAAGCTAATATGTACAGAAATGCGTCCTACGTACACTGGGTAAATGGAACTACTCACCTTTATCGAGAGGGCATATAGATGGTTGACAATTACATGATTTGGTTGCGGCAGCAGATTAGGATCACAATGGGTGTTTGTATCCATATTTAAAATACCCTGAAATTAATTTTCCATAAAAGAACAAGCAGTAATGTAGACAAGGAATTCTTATTGGCATATTGAAATATTCTGTTACAATAAGTTATAAGATGGTGGATTTCCAAATATTATCGTCAACTGAGACTTCTTGTCGGTGGTTGTATTCTAAACTTTGTATATAAACCACTGAAGGTAATTCATGATACAGTTCAGTTAAAATTACGTCACATTTGCATATTTAGTGCAAATTTACAGTGATGAGTGCATGGGACTGCTATGTTTTGCAATAACGTAAAACAGCCTAGATCAGAGAACCAATTGAACAACGCTGTCAGTTAGGGGTTATTATTATTATGCAGTAATCCACAGCCTGATGCATCCAAGGAATGCACCAACACCAGTACGGACAAAGTTTGAAAAGCAATCCACGTACGAAGTGGGATGTCCGGTGTTTGCCCGTGATTACAGACCGACCCATAGTCCATGGACAGAAGCGCGAGTGGTCAAAAGAGTTGGCCGAGTCATGTACGAAGTTGAGGTAGGTAGTGACAGGTGGCAACGCCATCGGAACCAGTTACGCAAACGGTTAGCCCCAGACCGCCCATCAACAGAATCAAATATTCCTCTTGACATTCTGCTAGACACATTCAACTTACCGGCAACCCCACCACAAGAAAAACCTCAACAACAAACTGAAACACGTCCAAGACGGTGGCCTATCCGAGAACGGCGAGCAACAATCAGGATGCAGGTTGACCCCAGGAAAGCCCGCTATTAAAAGGGGAGGAGTGTTGGGGACGATAGATCCCCAAACTCATATTTTAAAATTTATCTTATCGATCATCTTATTGATTAAATGTTAGATATTTTTATTGGGGTCAATTGATGAACTATCGATTACATGCGCAAATAGGTCAATTAATGAACTCATTGATTAATGTTTAAAAATTTTCTATCGATTGTAAATAATTGTATAAATACGCTTGACTTGTATGCTTGATCTGATCTGTCTGCCTGACTGGTTATCTGCTGTTTGTTTGTAGAATACACTTTCTACACCTTACCCAGACTTCTTGATCGAGTTAGCAGAGTTGGGGACAACGGACCAGAATAGTCTATCGAGTCTCTGAAACCTTGATCCGATCAATAAGCCACTGTCATATAATCAGCTGTCACTTTGAGACATAACAATTGGCGAATAAGTCGAATCAGTAGTATCCTCAAGGATAACGAACCTAACAAGTATATCCACTTTCACAAGGGCTTGTGTAGGCGTCGTAGTCCATAAATGTATAGAATAGTGAGTAAATTCTGAATACATTTCATGGCATTCCAATCTTAAAGAACAAGATCACTAGGTATGTGTCAATCTTTTTTGATTCCAGGTGCACAATGTCAATATATCTGCCTCGAGATCTGATACACGTTTTACAAACCAGCATTTCCTCACTGCGGTTAATTGGGATATTCAATAGGATTGCGAGCGAGGATTCATTCGAGCTACCACGCTTATCAGGGTAGAGAGAGCATGAGCAATGTTAATTGCGTTGAAAAGCTAATATGTACTTAAGATATAGGGAAAGGTAGCGAGTCAACACAAGTAGGTCATTCCAATCGGTGTTGCTTAATGCCATTTAAGTTGCTTAACCACAATTTGCAATTATCCTTTAAAGCTCAATTAATCGATGATAGTTTGAAGTTCACTGAATCTATGTTCTAATGCCGTGTCTTCGTTTCGACGTTACCTTCCAACCTCCCGAGTAAACCAATATGGCAGGTTAGCGTATAGGCAGTGGAATATCACATTAGCAAACAACCACAGCCTGATCAATAGACTAACTGAAACTCCAACAATAACAAAAGAAAAACTGAAGAATTAAGTTAATGGTATCTCCAACATTCCAAACTTTCGATTTGATGAGTGAACTAATTAGAACAACGATGATTTTATTTGTAACAAGTTTATTAATATGATCGGTCTACGAAACTAGTTTGCTTGAGTTAGTTAAGTATAAACTCATAAGAATCAATAGGAATCCCGATATCATTTTATATCATATGTTCTCATTAGGAGTAAGACAAATTTATTGATTAGATGAAATCTATTTTGTTTATATATACATGGAAGTAGTTTATTATGTAGTTCCCGTTACTTTCTAAAGGTTATTTTCCCTCTTCTATTTCTTGATAGTATTGTGAGTTTATTGATGACCTATTGCATCAAACAGCCTTATTATATGTGTTATTAATTATTAAAATTAAATTGCATGTAAATACATATTATTGATCAATTCGATGTATATGATCCAACATGTGTACTTGACTTGGAGTTATCATGTGTTTATGTGATGGTTATTTCTTAATAGTACTCGAATGTTAAAACCATAGTAATATTAGTAGATCAGACAGAATTCGAAATCTATGACCTACTAATTGGAATTTGATTATCTCAATCACTATACACGACATTAGGCTAACGATGATAATTGCAGACTGTTTTACTATAATTTTGTAAAATGACTTAACAGTAATGTAGAGAATTCAATTACATGTTACCAATTTGTACCTATTATTGCAACTTCTAGTATGTAAAAAACCAAAAAAAATTTCCCCGTGAATGATTTTCAGAATGGTAAGTAAAATACAAATTTATTCGTGATTCATCAAATGAATATTATGTACACATGGTATAGGTTAATCAATAGATTAGTATAGGGAAAGTCAAGTGATCATTTCAATATTTACTGTTTTAGACTAGAATATTTATTCAAATTGGTATATTATCAGAGCGAAGAAAGCAGTTACACTACATTTGTAGAGTAAAATTTGTTTTATTGTTAATGAAATACACATTAACAGGGACCATTAATTCAATAAAACTAAATTATTTCAGACAATTATACAAAGGGTAGAGGAAGATTGGAACAATCGGGAAGCTACACGTAGAGATTCTGAAATTTTCTTTTAAACCATATTTGGATGGAATGTCTTCAGCTCTTTCAGAGCTTCCTTGAGTTAACCGAGAGCAGTCCCCATACCTCCCATCTTTAAAGTCTCTTGTGTAAGACTTTCTGTGTGCGCCCACTTGAAAATTGGTTACCGCATTCCTCTTGCGGTTCATCACTCTTGAAGGTTATACTATTTTGCCCTTTCGTCTTTTATATCTCCTGCTTTCGTTTTCCTCAGGGCTTTTTTGAAATGAATCCACGAATATTTGAAGCGGGAGCCGGCTTTGTGTAATCGTTGTTCTACCATCCCTTCGAATTTGATTTACATGTCTTATACAAGTCCCGACACTTCTCCGAATTACAGTACTTTTCCAATCCGACGTTTAATAATATCTGGTTCTCGTTTTTTATTACCTTGATACGACTTGATAAGAACCCTTTCACTCACCTGGAAGTTGCGAGTGACTATACAATACTCATTTATATGTTTATTTATCTACCCGGGTGGCAATAATACTTTTAAAGACTGTCTGAACTTCCCTTCTAAACATACACTCAACTGGGGACTTTCCTTGTTACATTGCCGAATAAGGTGTAACTTTGCAGAACATTAGGAAGTTACTGACCACTTGTGGTGGAATATCCTCTCCTTCTCTTTTAATCAGAGCCTTTTTTATCGTATCCACGAATCTTTCTGCCTGGCCATTCAATTGGGGATGCTACGGAGGAGATCGTAGATGCGTACTGTCATTTTCACGGCAGAACCTATTTTAAGCACACAAAATGAACAGTGTCATTGTCAGTTATTAAGATCTCCAGAACCCCAAAACAAGCAAACAGTCTTGATAATTTTCTTATTGTATTCTCTAACGTATTCGGTATACCGTATACCTCCGGCCAATTTGTGAAATCACCCACCATCGCCAAGTGGTTTCTGCTTTGCATTTGACCGGCGAAATTAGCATGTATTCTTTCCCGAGGCCCGTCCAGTTTTGGCGATGGCTGAGGCTCTGCTTTAATACAAATCTTTGCAGCTTCTGGACAGGATCAAGAGCTACGACACTTCTGTTCTATACCACGGTTCATTGGCGGCCAATATGAGTAACTCCGAGCCAGTGACTTCATTTTACTTAATCCTGGGTGCCCGCCATGGAACTGTCTTGGGATTCAATGACGAAAAACTCCGTAATAATAATCCGGTGGCCAAAAATAACTCACGAACCGACAATTGTCAAGGAGTCTTTCAGACGAAAGTATTGTAAAAGCTCTTCACGAAGTCGAGGTGAAGGCCACTTGTTGAATATACAACGGCGAACGATCTTCAACGTATTATTCTTTTCATTAGCTTCTTTAACGGCTTCGAATGTGACCGATAGCCCCGAAACAGCGTCTGTCAACAATATGCGAACTTCGAACTCAGCTTTAACGGTAGCTACAAGCGCCTCTTCTAGTTTTGTATGGGATCCGATTAATCTTCAGAGAGCATCTACCTGTCCGAAATCCGTTTTCGGTTGGTACTTTATCTTGAAGTCATAGCACAGCAGTGTAGTTGGAGATTGTTGTAGACGGTTTGCTGCATATACAGGGATACTGTTTTGGATATAGAAACTGTCAATAGCGGTTTCTGGTCTTTTAGTAACGTAAACTGTCTACGGAATACCATCTAGACAAACTTTTTCACAGCGAGGATAAAGGAGAGGGCTTCCTCCTCCAACCATAATTCCCTTCTGTCATTGTCAGCGATCGCGCAGCGTACGCAAACATTTTCTCAGATCCACCAGGGCAGACATGCGAAATCACTGTTACGATTTCATAACGTGATGTATCTGCTGCGCCCACAACAACAAGAGTTGGGTCATAGTGCGTAAGTAGAAGGTTTGACGATAGGAGCTATCCGAGCTTTAAGAATGCTTCTTGGTATTCTGTTGACCAGATCCATTTCGTATTCTTCGTTAGTAAACAAAGGTGACGGTGCAATATCCTGGCATAGTAAATCGTGTGTGAAAGCATTTTAAATTGTCTGCAATGACAGGACCGGTTTAAGTGTCTTGTTTTGTATACAGCTTTTAGTCACCTTAAGATTCCGATATAAGAACCAGAATTCTGAGTAACATTGAATAATGTCCAAATATAACGCTGCAAGAAGTGACCAGTGAATGCTAGAGGTTGGTAAACTTGAAACATGGCACTTTAATGGTTGAACGCCATACGTACGAGCAATAAATGGGCAAAAGATTCTTTTATACGAAAGTTAGACGTTGTTTGTCGCCGGCCTTTGCTAACTTGAGACATTAAGGAATATTGAAAAAAGATGACTGCTCGCCAAAGATTTGAGACAAAAATTCGACCGTTGCACCAAAGGAAATTTCTCTCGGAATCTTCGGAAGAATGAAGTTGGTGTAGCGTTCATGTTCAGCTGTGCCAAGTTCGCGAAGTGGTATTCTGACGTTCGCGGCATCATCAAATTTTTCTAGGTCGACCTTGAATATATCTTCATATTTCTTGAACCAGGATTTGAATATGACACCGACCAAACCATCAAAACAAAATGCGCAGATTATTCGACAGGATTAAACGAAGCACTTGAGGCCCAACAGTACTCTTTGCCTTTACCAGAAGACTTATTCGCGAAATTGAATAGGGGGAGTATTTCACAAAGTTGACCTTATCAGAAGCTTACCTACAGACTCTAGTAGCTGAAGAATGTAATCATCACCTGACTATAAACACTCATAAGGGATTGTTCCGGTATAACAGACTTCGTTTTAGATTAAATACAGCCCTATCAGTCTTCCAACAAGTTATGGGCATCGTGCTGCAAAATATTCGTGGTACGGCGGCCTATCTGGATGATATACTTATCATAGGTACGGATTACGCTAACATAAAGAAGATGGATATGATCTTTAGACGTGTAGCAGATTATGGATTCAGACCACGTGCTGAGAAATTTGACTACAACATGGAGCAAGTGCGCTATTCGGGATTCATAGCCATCAAAAAACGGAAAACCTGATTCGGAAAACGTCGAGGCTATCAAGACCATACCTCGACCGACAGATGAATCAACCTTACGCTCCTTCTCGGGAATGGCTATCCATTATGTTGTTTTTCTTTCAGATCTGCATCGTCTGTGTGCCCTGCTGAATTGCTTACTAACAAGGAATACCAAATGGTCAACAGAATACCAAGAAGCATTCTTAAAGCTCAAACAGCTCCTATCGTCAAACCTTCTACTCACGCACTATGACTCAGCCCTTTCCTTTGTGGGCGCAGTAGATTCGTCAGTGGTGAACGGAAAGAATTTATTGAACACGAATTATACAATCTAAACAATATGATTTATATGGTTGTTTTACGTTCAGACACAATTATTGTTTAATAATAAGAAGGAACGATTTCGCATAGAATGTAAAATTAAAATCTGTAGGAACGTCTGCAAATGCATAGCACTGAAAATAGTATGGAGAAAAAATGTAATTCCGGTAGATATCATGGTTATGTTTATTACGTTGTGTTAGCGTGGCATGATAAAAACTTGACCCAACGTATATATATATCAGGTGCTGGTTTATGCCTGTGTCTGTCAGATGTCATTACACCAACTTTTCAACAGTTTACTTGGCGGACAATAATAACGGTAATAATAAGTTGTTATAGACAGTCAAAGAATTTTGTTTCTAGACCATAGTGTTCTTTAAATTTATGGACAACATTTGAATGATTTAGAAGTGACCTTAAGACATGCAAATTACTTAATACGTTTAAAATAGGATGGGAAATATGGTTGGGGTTATGGTTTGACGTAACGAACTGATATAAGCTGTAGTGCTCTTTAGCTCTATATAGATGAGTGTATTTCGTGAAGAACTCAAAGAAGTGTTAATATTTATTTGACTAGTACATCAATCAATTCTAATCTTGACAATGATGAAAGATAGACGAAATGAATTATAAAATTATATATACATATATGAAACATATCTAAAGGGAATTTTGAACGTGTATCAGACTATTATTATGAGTTTATAGGTATCAATGCCAAGGTTGAACTTGATAGTTTCAAATAAATTGAGCATTGAATAGAAGGTTAATAATAAATATATCTTCCTTGTTATATCCCAATGAATAGAAAAAATTGTATTTCTGACGTTTCGTGAGTTAATGTAAATCACTTCTTTGTTTTATTTACTCTGAAGAAATGGCCTAAATTAAGACACAAAACGTCAGAAATACAATTTTTCTATTTATTGGGATATAACAAAAAGTATATTTATTATTATTAAGTTGGAATATATGAAATTCATTTAATAACACATAATTGGGACTTGAAGTTTAAAAGTGGTTATATAAATAATTAGATAAATAAACGAAAAAAAAGTAAATTTCAAAATTACCTGTAACAAATGTGGTGGTAGTAGGGGAGGTTGAGGTGGCGACCCCTTACCTGGTGCGATTGACATGTGTCGACTATATACTGATGTTGATATGTTATGTAGCTCACTTATATCTGCGGGTATAAAACGACCATATTCTCCAGGGGGTGAGTAACCACCCAAATTGTCTACCTAATATCAAATGAAAACGGAAAGATACTTTTTAACATGACCGAATTGAAAAAAGAACACAAACTTAGTTATTTAAGGAAAATATACCAATCATTCTGTGCTTGGTTAAACATGTATTTTGGATAAGATACGTACGTATTTATATGTATACAAAGTTCTGACAAAATGCAGAGTCTTCTGACCACTATAAGCAACAATGCAAGCATGTTCAACATGAGATTCTCTCCTTCGAAATGCAAAATGTTGCTTTAGGATCGGGTTGCATCGACACCCGAACAAATGGTTGAGAGTGAAGTAGTTGAGCGTGTCGACCTCTTCACTTATCTTGGGAGTCTCATCAGCCTTTATGTTCTGGTGTCTGACGAAATCTCACCACGGACACAGAAGGCTCGACTAGCTTTCGCCAACTTGCGTCATTTATGGCGTAGGCGAGATACCCGTCTATCAACCAAATGACGTGTTTACTGCACAGCAGTTCGTTCCATCCTACTTTATGGCAGTGGAACATGGCCGGTAAGAGTAGAGAATATCCGTAGGTTAGTAGTATTCGATCATAAGTGTCTTCGAAACATTGCTCGTATATCATGGGACCATCGAGTAAGTAACACAGTTGTTAGGAAACGGGTACTAGGTAAGGATGGCAAATCAATTGATGAAGTAGTGAAACTTCATCAGTTGAGATGGCTGGGACACGTGTTACGCATGCCCAACGACCGACTGCCTCGACGTGCGATGTTCAGTGGTATAGGAGTAGGTTGGAAGAAAGCTAGGGGCGGCCAGACCGAAACGTGGCACAAGTCCATGAAGTCACTGACAAGTGAACTGAGCCATGTTGGTAGGAGTAGACTACCTGGTTGGAGACCGCGAGATGATAGCAACCGATGGGTAGAGACCCTGAATGACACGGCTCAAAATCGTTTGCAATGGCGCAGGTGCATTTACTCTCTGTGTTTTCTCAAATTCTAATCTTCTGATTTCTTCATGTCCCTTTTTTCCTCTTTCCAAATTCATTTCAGTGGATTATACTCCTTGAATAACATGTTCAAAGCCTAATCTTTCCGATTACTGCTCATACTTTTACTACCTCTACCACTACGGGATTTGAATCGACAACTGCATCTCTGTGCTAATGTGTTGTGGCAACTCGAACTGATGTACGTACGTACGAAGTTCTACGTTGTTACTGACTGGCTGTATGCAAAGTGTAGTGTAAACGTATTAGATTATAGCTTTCACTTGAGAGACCTGAAAAACTTGAATGTAAAGACAACATTCTAAGAGGAAAGTAGATATAAAAAACCAGATGTAAGCTAAAACTGACACTCGTAATCATAAACGTAAAGTGACCGGTAATGTTAGCAGATGGGATATGAGATGACTAAAGCTTCAAAATCCATAACACAGTTCAAGCAAGCATGAATGCGAATTTACTTAAAAACGAGAAAATTAAAGCGAATGTTAAAGTAAATTAATTATGTGTGGATAATAATAGTCTTAGAATTATATCATATGGATTATTATTTAAAACCAGAGAACACTGGGCAGTCATTGTTTTATAGTATGGAACTCAGCAGTACCCACATAAGTCTTTCAGGTCTGATAGAGAACAATAAACTACTAGAATCCCAATAGGTCGAAGTTCTATGGTACAATTTTAATGTCAATCAGCTGAGATAGTGTGAGAGTTCCAATGGTAACTCCAATGAAATAAATCTTTAACAAGTACTATCCTACAGATTAAACCAAACTCCTAAAAACTGGCATTGATGGATAAGTGAGTGGGTGATATGTAAGATAAATGATTTTGGGTTTGGGAAATATACATTGGTCTATCAGTTGTTTGTTACTCAAAAATATTGAATACAATCATAACACTGCTTCACTCATGTGAAAGGTCAAAACATTTATCATACACCTGAAGCAGGACAAAGAGGAAGGAAACGAATGAATTTGATAAAATACCAGTTTAGTCCTGTCTTCGGTTTTGTTGAGTCAGTTACAAAGAAAGAAGGATTGGAAACGTGTAAACAACATCTTAGTGACTGATAACTTCATGTCCGAGGCTTTATGCGGTACTAACAACAATCCAAGTGATAAAGACGAAGTATATTAAAACTTAAAGCCATGGTTCAGTTCACGGATTAACGAAATCCCACTCAGGTACAACTGTATTGAACAAGAACACTAATGCAAACAATCGAGTGTATTTGACACGAAATTACAGAGCATTTCACTAAAATCTGAGAACCATAAAGTAAATAGTTAATTTGCAAAATATCAATCCATCGTCCCAAACTTAACTGTCCCTTTGCAAATATAAGTCCATTGTCTCAGATTTCATTGTCCATACATTTTCTAACCAACTGCGTTCCGTTTTCGTTGTTTCATTATCAATCTTCTGCTGAAATACATTATATGCCTGACCACCGTTATATACTACTTATATGGATATAAGTAACCCACACTACATAACCACTTGATTTGTATACCCCAATGTAAAAAGATGTTTCTATAGACTCCCAGTTAGTCTGTCGTATAAATAAATGGAAGTTTTATGAATGCAAAAACAAAACGGCCAATCCCCTTATATCTAAATGCTCATTACCAAGATTTGGTCTAACCTTAGTGACCACTCTTTTTCAGCTTTAAAGCGATAGAAATTATAATTTATTCATAAGTATATCATTTGTTTAATAAATAAGCGAAAACGCACTTGAGCATACATTAGTGGTCGGCTACAAGTTTGTATCCTACGACACAGTCACAAATATGTAATATTTTGAAGAGTATAAGAAAAACGATGATCGTTAAAAACATTTTATAAGACAGTGTTTATGTGATCTTAGCTCATAATGATTCAGTGGAGAGATTCAGAACATTTCCATACCATAAAATAATGGAAAACATGACAATAAGCATCAAATAACAATTAATAACTTAATCTCACTATTTAAAGATGTTTCTACAAACAAGTAAAAATTGATTAGGGTAATTATTGGTCAAAATGTATCATACATTTCTCAAATCTACATTTTTTAGCACTTACCACTGCAGAAAGTTAGATACGATTGGAAATCGACCCACGTGGTTAAATTCTAAAAACTAGTTCAAATATTCTTCCATTTCTAATTAATAGTATTTGACGGTTAAACTTAGTAGAAATTAATATGAAACCTAGCACAATAGTATGTTACCCCGAGTTATCAAGACACATTAGCACGAAAGGATAAAAGTAACAAGATGACTAGTACAGCAGTTGAATTGACTGTAGTAACGATATTATTAAAAAAAAACTGAACATAAAGAATAATCGTAGTTTAAAACACGAACGCATAATCCAGTATTTCCAATTTTCTAATCGCAGTCCACGAACAATTCGTGATTTAAATTATGAAAATTCTACTATCTCCAAAAAAATCAAGTACTAATAATCATATGAGAAGCCATGACTAGCAAAGTTCAATTATGTCGAGTGTGAAACAGTTATGAACTGCAAGGAATGAGGGTTGCGCAATATTGTGAACTGAAGTTAAACATGAATAAATTAATATATTTGTAATATCCCAGTGAAGTTAGACATGTATACTATGAGATGCCAGCTCAGTGTTCACGTGAGATACCGAAAGTCCTGTGTTTGATCCCCTGGTGGCAGTGTCGTGGATGCAAACGACTGATGAGTCCCATAGCAAGACGAAACAGCTGTTCAGTGCTTGCTCGTTTTCAGTGGTTATCTAACTTAAGTCTATTCGAAATTTCAATGGAAGACAATTTATGACTAATAATCGTACTAGTTAGAAAAAGTTGCATTTGTAATCATCATAATAATTGAAAAAGTACAAATTGATGATAATAAGCTGAGAAAGTAGGATGGAAAATAAATATGTATAAAGCCGGTTAATCTAAGCCAAAAACGTACGATAAAATAAACATGTACTTTTTTTTCTACAGAAAATGTAAAAAAACTACATTTTATTTATTTATTTGAACACATAAACATTGATACAAGAGGGCACCCAATACATATGCGCCACACAATAGCAATTAAGCCAGCGGTATTTATCATTGATTTGTGTGAGGGCTGCGATACTGCCCGAATGCCCAGACCGAAACAGCTGGTTTTCTTAAGGGGCCACACTCTGAGCCTTTGATCTGAAGGTCTAATGCACAAAGCAGTGGAACGACGTAAGGAGATGAACTCCCATGCTAGCCAGCGACCAACAACAGGTTCATACTCCATTCATTCCCTCAGGATCCTGAAGCCTATGTGCACCATTGGTTTGGAATCGGGGTTTTTCAAGTCCCCTAGGTGGAAAATGTTCTATTTATAACTAAATTAACAATTAAAAAGGGTAAATATTTTTGAGATGAATAATGAACTCCAAAGTGTTTAATAATTTTTAAATAGTAAACCGAAAAATGTTAGGATTAGGAGTGTTGGTGAAATAAGGAATGTTAGGGTTAAGACTTAGAATTAGTGTTAGGAGTTTTGTAATGAGAGAATAATTTTTGTCTACGCAAACGGAATGGAATTACATGTGGGAGTTTCCAACGTATTTTAAAGACGAAACGACCATCCAATGCTTCATTATATCATTTTAAAAGATTTAACAGTTAAAGTCAGTTCGTGATGACAACTATCTTTAATGTACATAAAATCACTAGAAAATTACCTCACAATCATAATTAACAGTTACATGTATAACAGACAGAGTTATATCACGCCACTCATTACATCAAACGTCAGTCAGTCAGCCACAGCGTAGGACCAGGCACATATATGCATCGGTCCAAGTTGCCATACCTCATTAACACAACAAGATGGACACCGGATTCATAAAAGTAGTTAATTCAGAGGTGGTAATATATAAAAGAAAGATTGCAATAAGAATATAGTACAGGAAGAAAGAATTAGTTCGTAGAAAGAAAGATATGAAGCGATTTTAATCTCATAGTTTAAGGGAAGATAGACAGTGTATACATCTACGTCATTGTGATCGATT